TCCGCGGCACACTAGTGTGCCGCCAGACGTTGCCTGGTGTGCCGCGAGATGTTGCCTGGAGGGAGTCGGGCGAGTCGGGCGGCGAGAGGCGGGGCGGCGGGCAGCTCGTAGAGGAAGCGCGACGCCCCGGGAGCAGCCATGGCCCCCCGGCCCCGACTGCCACTCTCCGCGCCCTCCGCGCCCCGGGCCAGGCCATAGGAGAGCCGGGCGCCGACGACGGAGGAGGCCGGCCGCGGGAAAGGGGCCACTTCCCCTTTAAATGCCGCTCCGGGCGGGGGAGGGAAGCGGCCCTCCGCCGCGCCGCTCTGCGCCTGCGCCACAGGCCCCGGGGAAGAGCGCTTCGCAGGACTCGCGGGCCAGGCGGAGCCACCTCGAGCGCCACCCAAGCGGGCGTCTCTATAGCGACGGACCCGCCCTTTCCGCTGCCCTCCCGCGCTGCTCTGGCTCCGCCTAGCGGCCCGAGGAGGAGCCGCGCAGCCTGTCGCTGCCGCCCCCGCGGAGCCTGAGGCGAAACGCGCAGGGGCCGCCGCCGCGCCGAAGCCTCCCTTCCGGGGTCCCCTCGGGGCCATTGGGCGGGGCTGTCGCCTCCTGGACGCCGCAGCCCCGAGCTCGTGGATGTAAACCGAGAGATGGACTTGCTTGGGAGGAAGTTCCGTTGTACCAGCGGGAGTTATTTCCGAGTAAATATGAAACACTTGGGGATATTGTGTTGAGACTGAGGGGAGCGTGGCTGGTAGCCCGAAACATCCGGAGGGCGCAGGGCTGGCGAAGGCTGGGGGAGCACGAGACTTCGACAGTCTTTTCAGTATGTTACAACATAAAACTGCTGGAGCAAGTTAACATATTTTGTTACCTTGTGCATTAAAAGGACCGTATGTAAGAATATAAGTGGGTTTGCTTCGTTCCATAGGATTCACACCTCAGAGTGCAATGGCAGGCAGATCTTAGAGCCAGCTTCTGTCTATGTATCTGAAACCTGTTCTGCCCCCTCCCCCACACTTGGTGCCATTTTCATCTACACATGCAGCAGAGTAAGTTGACCCAGAATAGTACCAATTCAGATGGCAGATGGGAGAATGACAGTGCTGAATGCTTTCCCATGTAGAACAGTCCCTGCAAATAAAAACCTAGCATATTTGGAAGAGGGATGCTAGCCTAACCATTACCTTCTATGCTGTTACTATTTTTTTATTATTTTTTTTACATAAGTAAAAAGTGACCTTTCCCCATCTGGCATGGTGGTGTGCCTCGAGATTTTTTTCATGAAACAAGTGTGCCTTTGCCCAAAAAAGGTTGGGAAACACTGGTCTAAACCACAGAGCCTAGGGCTTGCAGATCAGAAGGTTGGCGGTTCGAATCCCTGCGATGGGGTGAGCTACCGTTGCTCGGTCCCAGCTCCTGCCAACCTAACAGTTCAAAAGAATGTCAAAGTGCAAGTAGATAAATAGGTACCGCTCCAGCAGGAAGGTAAACGGCGTTTCCGTGCGCTGCTCTGGTTCGCTAGAAGCGGCTTAGTCATACTGGCCACATGATCCGGAAGCTGTTTACAGACAAACGCCGCCTCCCTCAGCCAATAAAGCGAGATGAGCGCCGCAACCCCACTATTGTCTGCGACTGGACCTAACAGTCAGGGGTCCCTTTACCTTTTTTACATTGATTATTGCTTTCATTTTATGGACCAATGGTCTTATTAGATAGTAAAATTCATGTTGAATTGCTGTTTTAGGGGTTGTTTTAAAAAGTCTGGAAGGGATTAATCCGTTTTGCATTACTTTCTATGGGAAAGTGCGCCTTGGTTTTGGAACGGATTAAGTTTGAGAACCAAGGTAGTACTCTATTGGTTCTGCCCACTCAATCTGTCAGGGCCTGTCTTCACATGCAGGGGAAGTTCCTAACTCGCTGAGGGTTTCAGACCCAATGGCTACCCTCACCTGGTTTAGCAAACCAGACAAAGCCATTTTCTGTGGTGTGGCCACTGTTACATGCTGACCGCTTCTAGGAGCCACAGGTGAGAGCTGAGAGCAGCGTAGAGACCAAAGGTGGACAAACTACCCCAGGATGAGTACAACGTGTCTCCCACCAGAGGCAGTACTCCTCCCCTAACACCTCATACACCCCAATAACAGTGTTGGGGGCTATGGATTTGTGAAGTCCTTGAAAGTACACAGGAATACACTGAAGCTAAGAGGCAAATTTTCTGTTATAACAAAATAGTCCATGAGGAAATCCCTGCACAAAATATGTAGTTTAAAGTAAAAAATCTAAATGCTGACATAGGGTTACATATATAAAGAATACAATATACTGTACAGGCACCCCATGCAATCTTCTTATATCTTGGGCTGGAAAGTATGAAACACTGCTACGTGCACGTGTCATTAAGATCAATGAGGCAAACACTAGGGACTCATTCATAGTTGTTTAACGTGGATAGTAAGCATCTTGTACTTCCATTAATTATCTGTTGTCTATATGATGTTCTCCTAATCACTGCCTTCTCACACTTTCCCCTCCCATAATCCAGATTTTTCTCATACCTTTTCCTTTTCAGCATATCCCTGGCATTTCTGAAACTGTGGTTTTATTATTGATATTTGTTATAAGCAACCCCGAGCCGAATTTGCACTGAAAGATGCCCTAAAATATTTTAAATAAATAGTAACCTCTAGTCTCACTTTACAAACAATTTTCTCAGCTGTACAATACAGATGTGTAACTGCAATTTGCTCGCATTCTTTTTCTATCTGAGTCTCTTCTTGCATACCCTGTTCTTGTACATTTCAGATTGTATGCTTCTTGGAGGAGAAGAACCTGTACAATTTTTGTTCACTGACTTCTGTAAACTCTTGAGCCATGTATAGTGATGTCAGGATAGTAACAATAGTAAAAAATGAAAAAAGGAGTTGCAGAAGATTGAAAGTCACAAAAATGGAATGCTAAAAGAGCTATTGCAGAATGAATTATGTTCATTAAAATAACATGTGACCAAAGTATGTAAAAGCCACAACACATTTTAGAATAGGGGTGGTGGGTCCCAGCCCACAAACTGAATTAGTCTCACCTGGCCTCCTCTTGGGACTGCCATTTCAGTCAACACACACCTACCTGCCCTACACTTGGCATTACAGTGGTACCTCTGGTTACGTACTTAATTTGTTCCGGAGGTCCGTTCTTAACCTGAAACTGTTCTTAACCTGAAGCACCACATTAGCTAATGGGGCCTCCTGCTGCCGCCGCACAATTTCTGTTCTCATCCTGAAGCGAAGTTCTTAACCTGAGGTACTATTTCAGGGTTAGCGGAGTCTGTAACCTGAAGTGTATGTAACCTGAAGCATATGTAACCCAAGGTACGACTGTATATCAGCGTCACGCAGCAAAGTCAAAAACGCAGAGTCTTCACAGTAAATGAAGAAAACTTTACGGAGGCAATCATACTTCTTTACAAACACATAATGGAGAAGAGCAAAGTAAAACAGAAGAAGATTAGACTAGGCTAGAGCACACTGAGCCCATTGTATTTATCTTTCCTGGCTCTGAGTGTCTTCCTGTAATTCAGGGGTCAGCAAACTTTTTCAGCAGGGGGCCAGTCCACTGTCCCTCAAACCTTGTGCAGGTCCAGAATATATTTTTAGGGGGAAATGAATTCCTATGCCCCACAAATAACCCAGAGATGCATTTTAAATAAAAGGACACATTCTACTAATGTAAAAACACGCTGATGCCCAGACCGTCCATGGCCGGATTTAGAAGGTGATTGGGCCGGATCCGGGCCCCGGGCCTTAGTTTGCCTACCCGTGCTGTAATTGATACAATATTTGTACAAGGAATGAGTCATCAGAGGATGAGTCAGAGTGAGTCAGCACTTTTCAGCATTTTCCAACACTTTCTACACTTTACTGCTTCTGCTCTCAAAGACCTTTGTCACATGACAATCAGGTGTGGGGTATGTAAAACTTGTCAGTGAAAGAGGGCTTATGATCAGCTGATTGTTGGATCTCCAAAAGTCCCTTTTCAAAACACTGTTCAATTAAAACATCAGTGGCAGATGGCCCACCAACCTGTGCTTTACAATCTCCATACCTCACTCACAGGTCCTCCTGGAATTCCAGCAGAAATAAGCTATGGCTCTCTCTCTGCCTTTCTAGTCTGCAGCTTTTGTACCCAGTTTCTAGCTAATAGCACTCAAACTCTACTCTGGCCTTTTGTCTTTCTAACAGACAGTTGAGGGAGGAAGGCCCACTTATTTGTCATCTAGCACAGAACCACTTGTTTTGCTCCCCTACTTACTCATACCAAAAGGCCATAACCAGGCAGGTCTGGCTATTACAATAATTGAATCTACACTGGATCTAGGAATTAGAAGGGGGGCTCAGGTATACAACCTAGCAGCCCCCAAACTCATAACATGGATAGGAACTTTTAGAACAAAAATTCCAAAGTGGTATACAGTATTTGTGGTCTGGGAAATGGAACAATGGAAAAAAGAACTTTCACTCCTTACCATGCAATATAATAATTTTGCTATGGATGAAAAATTATCGGACAGGTCAAAAGCTGAATTACCTTTACAACAGGCATAAAAGAGTGAAAAACATGTCACTGGAATAATTGTATATAGTTTTTAAAGTAAGAAAAGGGCATATTATGCTTGAAATTATGTAACGTATGAGAAAACCTGACAATATAGGAGGCTCATGGATTTTTTTTTAAAAAGAGATAAATATATAACATGCATAGATGACTATCCTCAAACACACTCATCACTATTAATACAAGCCATCTCCCTCAAACACACAACATACTTGCTATGAGCCAAGGGTTAGTGACAAATGTTAGCTAAATCTGTCATCCAGACAAAATATGCACACAAATAGCTTTTTTTCCCCAGCAAAAAATGCACCTTCTGAAGAAACTGAGAACTCCAGAGGGGGACAAGAAACTCTCCCTCCAAAAAACAAAAAAACTACCAAGAAAAGCCTTAGCCTGCTGTACCGTACAAAGAAATAACAAATTGTTACTACCCTGTCATCTTTGTTGAGCAAAATGAGGACTGATGCTACAGCTCTAACGCTTTACTTTTGAAGTGCTTATCATCAGCCCCAACATCTTCAGTAGAGGAACGAAATAGAGTAGACAGTTGCCTTTTGGACTATGCTGTTAAGCACAAATATCTGCTTCAGCAAGGATAATAAGGAGCCCAGCCCCTGAACGGGGATTTCTTGGCTCGCATCTATGCTAGCACAGGATGCAGTGTATAAACAATGGGAAGTTGCAGTCCATTATGGTTTCCCTTCCCAAAGGTGGCGTTTTGCATCGGATCTCGGCGCCCCACGTTTAAAATCCCACAAGTTTCCTGCACAGCAGCATAAATCCCAGAGCTCTGTGGAGAGGCAGAGAGCCTGGGTCTTCATAGCACTTGCCTCCACAACCTCAAAATGACCACATTCCCCCCCGCCACTATTGTTTGCTTTTCGCATGCCAGCTCCCGGGATACTGGATCCTTCGCATGCCTGCTTGCCTTCAAGTCTCTCGACGGCTGCCTCTCAGCCTCTGCATATTTACGCACCCGACGAAGCAGGCTCCCGACTTGGCTACCACAGCTCATGCCGCTACGGAACCAGGGCTCAACTTGAGGTAAGACTCGGCCCAGGAGCCCATTTTGTAAACCCCGGGACTCCTCTTTGAAACGTACGTGGAGAAGAATGCTTCCCCCCCTCCCCTCACTTCCCCACTTCTCCTGCCTCAGGAGTTGGGGGGAAAGGATTTCCATGACAAAGAGCGCTATTCCAACCTCAGCGCCACTTTTCGCCAACTGAACCCTGCCTCGGTTTGTCTTTTCTTCCGGTATCAAGTGCTGAGAGGAGTCGCGACAACCGCCCTCTCCCGCCCGCCTTGCTCTGAGGCAACTACGAGCTCTCCTCCTCCTCCTCCTCACCCCCAGTCGTGACACGGCCGCCGCGCGGGCTTCCTTACCCGGGTTGCAGTGCAGCGGCGAGGGCGGCGTGGCGACAGGCGACGAGGGGGCCGGGGAAGGCTGAAGCAAAGGCGGCGGCGGAGGCAGCGGCGGGTCTTTGGGGCCGCCGGCTCCCGGCGAAGGCGCGGCGGGAGGCGGCAGCATGAGGTAGCGATGCGGCGGGGGTAGGCAGCGCACGCAGAACGAGTGGAGGCACGGCAGCAGCTTGGGCCGCCGGCTCTGGATGTTCTGGCCACACACCCCGCAAGTGTCCAACAGGTTGAGCCGCGACTCTCCGTCGGCCCGGTCCGCGGGGCCTTGCCGGCTTTCAGCCTCGTTTTCCCCACCCATGGCGACAGGACCGGCCGGGGTGGGCCCTGCTCCCGCCATAGGCTCGTCCATTGTTCGGCGGCGGCGGCGGCGGCCACTTCAGGCGCGAAACGCCTCTCTCCCAACGGCCGCTTCTGTTCTCACACCCTCCCCCCTCCGCCTTCTTACGAGCCGAGCGCCCGCCCCTCAACGGCCGCTGGGAGCAGCGACGTCGGTTGCTCCTTGACCGAACCCGGAGAGGAGGTCGCCAGCGCGCACAGCCGCGCGCGGGCAACGGCTACCGATGCCGCGCCCCCTTCACGCCCCCTCCAGTGACAGGACCGCCGCTTCACGCCACGCCCCCTCTATCGACCCCGTCTAAGCTCCGCCCCTTTCTCCTCGGGGTTCTCGCCGTAGCCGCCTCAGAGCGTCATTTTCCTCCTCAGGTGCCTGGCGACCGTTTGGATTCCAACTGTTATTACGTTTGTATAAACGGTGGGATTGGCAGGCTGTTCTGGGCTTGGTTGAATTCGGGGCGGGGGGTTCATTTCGGGCCATGGGAGAGAAATAGCAGGCTGGCGGCTTAAAGAGGACGAAAGACGCCTAGAGGAGGAGGACGGGGACGGCTTGTGGTAGGTGGTTGTGGGTCAATTTGGTTTGCTCCTAGGAACCAGCGATGGGGCTGAGTAAAGTACTAGTGAAGTGAGACTGTTTCCACGACCCACTCCGCCCTAGTGCTTTGCAAGCCTCTCAGAAAGAGCAGGTAAGCACCATAGAAGCAAATGGGCGGGTGGGGGCAGGGAGAGTGAAGGTGTTAATTCTTTCCTTTCTGGAGGTACATCCCTGAGGGATACTGAGCTCCCTCCAAGGAGTTCTGCAGGGCAACTGGTGAAATGGAGAGCCCTGGTGACCAACCTCCTCCCCAGGTCTGCAAACTGGACAGGACTTCAATGCCAACTCCACCAGAGGTGACGCTTAAGAAAAACCAGGATCTTCTCTCCTCACACCCCACCCTTGAGAAGACTAATCCCAGAAGTGGTCCAAGGGGAAACCGGAACATGTCCTGAACTGAGCTTCCTTGAATTAGAAGGAATATCTGCTGTTCTCTCCCAGAAATAAGATGGTGAGCAAAGTGGCTCCTGAACCAGGAGAGAGATGGGGGGAGATGCAAAGACCATCCACCCTTGTTTTTCTCCAGAGGACAGCTTGCTTCCTCAAGAAAGAGCAGCTTTTCCAGCAGAGCTGATGGAACAAGCCGGGCTTCTAATCTTCCACTGAGACATGCTACAGTACTGGGAAAAGTGCACAATTCGTAGGAAGTAGAGTGTTTGTTTGGCTGTACCACGATTGAGTGGTTGGTGACCACTCCTATAATGTTTTGCTTTCTGTTTACATGGGTATGGAGGAGTATTACTTGCTGTGTGAGTTGATCGCTTGAACTGTCTGCCCAAAGGCCAAGAAGCAGCAGAGAAAGCAAGAGGCTTCCTTATTCAAAAGTAATAAAAACACATACAGGAATGTAGCCATTGGGACCAGACGGACAGACTAACATATGTTCTAACCGGGTTAAGGAGAATACCACATTTATCTGAGAAACAAGTGAAACTTCTGTTGCTATGCAGGCCTGCTCTGAAAGAGACTGTATCCACTACCCAATATAACTTTGCAGTGGAAAGATGGACAGTTGCTGGGACAAACTCCTGGCATTGCAGGGGTGTGCTGGTCTAGCAAAAACACTGTAGCAGACCTGTGTTTAAAGCACTGCCATGGAGCTGTATATAATCCTATTTTTAAAAACCTACTACATTACTGGTACCAGTCTGAATATGTAACTGAAGCTTAACAGACCACAACTTTCCCAGTCCATAAGTTCATGTCTCTGAGGGCAGTAACACTGCCATTAACAAATTGCAAAAAGCTAGTTTCAAAACAAACAATTTGGTGGAAAGAATCTTGAAGTGAAGGGGTAGCAAGTAAAATCCACTGCTCAGAATCCTGTTTTTATCTTGAACAAGCTATTTATAAATAAAAGCATGTATAACCACAGCTCACATGAAATGCCTAATTTCCCTTTAGGTCAGGTCACCCCAAAAAAGGAACAAATCTCTTTGATGCTGAAATACCTGAAAATTTTGTTCCCTTTGGAGTAGTAAAAGATAAAAGTTGAAATAAATGGAAACTGGTCATCTTGCTGATCATAGGAAACCTGAATTAAGCAAGGAGGAGATATTCATTTACCAATGTGCCTCTGCATTTTGACAAAGACTTTTAATAGAATACTAAATGGGGAAAATCATAGTGGTCCATTAACTAGGTGTGACAGGGCAGGGGGAGAAATTGTCTCATTTATTTTGTTCGTTTATGAATCACCTCACATGAAACACCTTAAAGCTATTAACAATAAAGACATCAGTAATAACCATTTCAAATGCAATACAGATACACTGGAGTAAGAATCTCTGCTTCAAATGCTTGTTGAAAAAAGGTTATATGGAGGAAATAATTGGGGGAGCATACAGCCTTTGCTCAGCTACTTGAAATTGACTAAGTTCATGTCAATTTCATTTTTAATAGTTTTTTATTTTGCAAATACAACAGAAAGGAATTCCCATTATCCCTGACCACTGGTCCTGTTAGCTAGGGATCATGGGAGTTGTAGTCCCAAAACATCTGGAGGGCCAAGTTTGTATGCCTGTTTAGAACTTCTTGTAGTTGTTTAGTCGTGTCCGACTCTTCGTGATCCCATGGACCAGAACATGCCAGGCTCTACTGTCTTCCGCCTTCTCCTGCAGTTTGGTCAAACTCATGCTGGTAGCTTCGAGAACACTGTCCAACCATCTCGTCCTCTGTCGTCCCCTTCTCCTTGTGCCCTCAAACTTTCCCAACATCAGGGGCTTTTCCAGGGAGTGTTCTCATGAGGTGGCCAAAGTATTGGAGCCTCAGCTTTACAATCTGTCTTTCCAGTGAGCACTCAGGGCTGATTTCCTTAAGAATGGATAGGTTTGATCTTCTTGCAGTCCATGGGACTCTCAAGAGTCTCCTCCAGCACTATAATTCAAAAGCATCAATTCTTCGGCGATCAGCCTTCTTTATGCTCTCACTTCCATACATCACTACTGGGAAAACCATAGCTTTAACTATACGGACCTTTGTTGGCAAGGTGATGCCAACTTCTAGACTAGTATAAATGTGAAAACAGAAATAATGGAAAGTTTTATTGTTTATCTGGATGTTAAATACTAATTAATGTATCAGGGAATGCTGACTGTATTGACCAAAGGCTGTTGACTTGGCAGCTTAACCTGTACTCAAATATGAATGACCTGTGTTCCCAAATATGAACACTCTGCTTTGTGTGTAATTATAGTTGGCAAGAACTAATGTTGGCATGAATTCATATCAAAAGTTGAATAGTTTGGTATAGTTCTGCTTATTGCTGAGACATCATATGTCAGGGTGGTTTTTTTAATGGGTGTAGAACATACAGTTTCTGAGTAGTTAGCTAGATTTTGTCTTTGTTATGGCAGATGTGCACCTGTTTGTGAATTAACTCTGCTGAGTCTGTAAAGAGCCAAGGTCACAGATCTGAGATATATCTGGACCTCTAAGCTGGAGTTCTTCATTTGTCTTTCATTGCTCTTCAGTTATGAAGTTTTTCACCATCACAGGGGATCCAGTGATGCTGTAACTATGTTCTTAATTTACTGAGGTTCAACAGCTTATTACTGATGAGCTTTGCTGCCTGCATGTGTTTCTGTTTGGACACAGTACTGAATTTCTTCTCCTACTGCACATGTGTGGGCACTCTGCTGCTTATTTTTCATGCGCATGCACTGGAAGTGCTTACCCAGGCGTGGAGCCAGGTTGGTGACTGGATTTTGCACCAGTCCTGGCATGGTAGTGAAAGGTAAATAACACTTAATATAGCAATAAAAGACATTAAGAATGTTAGTAAGGTAATTCAGTGCATATAGGAATACATATATTCATATTTGGAAAGTGTTAGTTAGCTTGAACATGGTTATAGCATAAAACTGCATAGATCCAAGATCTATGTTTGATTAGGTTAACAATTAACCATTGTGTGATCTGCTTTTGTTTGTTGTTACTGATCAAAGGTTAGTTTATTATACTAGTATGACTTGTAGGATGTTCCGATATGGAGATGTTGTCATGGCTGATGTGGAATGGACAACATGGAACTAGTTATGTACTTAGCATGATATAAGCTGTATGTAAAAGAGTATAAAAGGCTGCGTGAAACCTGTGATAAGTACAGTACTTATAGGACTGTCCTTTACTGCAATAAAGTTAATAAAGGGTATTGTCTTGCTGGAATCCTTGGTTGCATTTCTTATTGAATTTCCTACCAGAAATGAACCGGACAGGGTTAATTTAACACAAGCAATTGTGGTCCACTATGCATCACACTAACTTGAAACCCACTGGGTGACCTTGGTCAAACAAAGGAACTGTCAAACAAAGGGATCATTGCCAGACCTGTCCTACAACACCCCAGGCTTATAATATTGGCAAATAATGTTCCAGCACCCAGCATAATCACTCCTGCAGTAAACACCCCCTGTGACGAAAAAGTTGGTTTTGCTGGACCAGTTGGATCAAAATGTGTTTGTTTTTTTCTTTCTTTCCCTGCCAGCAAATGGTTAATGAATGGCAACCTCTGATTGGCTGTGGTTCCAGGAGGGAGAGTTTAAAAGGAGGGGATTTGAGAGAGGAAGGAGAGGGTTGGTTGAAGTGGGTTGGAATAGAGGTTGGAGAGGTCAGGAGATAGGTAGGGAGACAGGTTAGGAGACAGGTTGAGGTAGAAGTGTAGCCTTATTGGACTTTACCAATTGGTAGGGTGTGCGTTGCTCCCGGACGGGAGGAAGGAAGTCAAATGACACCGAGGGTTGGTTCAGAGAAAGAGTTTTTTCTGCTCTCCGGATAGCAGAAGGCACTTACGTGGTCAGCTCACAGCAAGTCCAAAGAAATGAGAAATTTCATGCAGTATATATATCCTCCAGGCACCCTCTCCCCCCTTCCCCAGGAATTCAAGCACGTCAGCTTATACACGTAAGTTGACATCCATGACCATAAACAGTTATTCCTGTTCCGGCACTCTTGACCATAAAAGGTTGTTCCTGTCCCTATACTCTTATCTTGGGGCAGGAGGTCACCAACTCCTGGCACCGTTCCCGGGTCTCTTGTCAGACTTAACAAGGTCTGTGCGTCTTCTGTGGTCAGGATGTAAGATAAGACCCAGACGCGTCATCCCTGCTCTACTGGAACTGGCAAGGTCACTCACTGCCGTCATGGACTGATAAGGGAGAGAGCTTTGAGCACTTGTTTATACAGCTGGGTTTTGGCTCAAGAGCTCAAGTTAGAGCATTTTAGAAATGCTCCCTTGGAGGAGGAAAAATTGGGATTTTGGGTCAGTTTCAAACTGACTGCACAGAAACCCATTCCTTCAGAAGGAGTGAAAGCAAGAGTGAGTTGGTTCTGGAAAACAAAATAACTTCCACTCTGAGTGTATTGTGAAGGACAGAGTGTGGTGTCCTGTAGGAGGAACAGACCTGAATTTTACTGGGAGGCAGAGGTTGAGCCAGGAGAAGTAGGAGCTGGAAAGGAACAGCCTACTTGGGACTCAAATCTAGTCTGGAGGGGAGAGATTTTTCTAAAGAAAAGAAACTCCCAAACCCAGGGAAGGGAGGGGCTGTGGAGAATCCTTGGGTCTACTGCACCTCAGCAGCTGGATTGTTGAAGGGGGTGGATAACTGAAAGAAAGTATCAGTATAAAGGATATATCAGTATAAAGGAACCAAACGGATAAGGCAAAAACAACTGAGGACAGCATTAAAGTGAAATTGCACTGTATCACTGAAGTATCACTGTATCACTGAAGTAACCTAAGTTTAATCCATTTGTGTTAAATACTATCATGCCTTAAATAAATCTTTGTTTATTTAAAGAAAACCTGTCTGAGACTCCAACTTACTAGAATTCCCTTCACAAAAGTCCCCTTCGGGTAAAGGGTTGTTCAGTGAGGTGGGGGCAATTTATCTAAGTGGGAGCGGGACCCAGGCATGAGAGGAAAAAGTGCTGTCGTCACGCCCCCCCCATATGTTTTTCCTTCTCTATACCATAGCATTTCATGTAAATGAGCATATTGTTTAGTTAATATTTTCCTATCCCACCTTTCTTCCCTCACAGAACTCAATCCACTATACATGGATATTCCTTGTCTTCAGTGAAGTCACTTTATCATATGCCTTCATATCATGCCTTGGGATTGTGTAAAAAGTGAAGACCTTCTTCCACAAGTCCCTCTTCTCCCCTATGCATAGTGGATGTAGCTTTTCCATTACAAAAGAAATCTGGAGCATGCATGATGGAATATCTTGATTTCATGGTGCTTGGCCTGCCCTTTATAATGAAGAAGTAAGCAGACAGCAAAATTGAAAGATGTGGCCTTGAATTCCTCATTCCTTTCAGTTCCTCAAAGTTTAAAGTCTTTCCGTTTGAGGAACTGAAAAATGGGCCTAGCACATGGGTAGGCAAACTAAGGCCCAGGGGCTGGATCCAGCTCAGTTACCTTCTAAATCCGGCCTGCACATGGTCCGGGAATCAGCGTGTTTTTACATGAGTAGAATGTGTCCTTTTATTTAAAATGCATCTCTGGGTTATTTGTGGGACATAGGAATTTGTTCATTTTTTTCTTCTTCAAAATATAGTCCGGCCCCCCACAAGGTCTGAGGGACAGTGAACCGGCCCCCTGCTGAAGAAGTTTGCTGACCCCTGGCTTAGCACCATGAAATGAAACCTGGAGTCATTCAATGTAATCTCTTTGCTGCATAGGAAAAACAAGCATATTTGCATTTAGACAAACAGTGACTGCACCTATTTACATGAGCTGGACAGATTTGCAGAAGATATGCACAAGGTTTCAAGAAATATGGTCAAATTAGCTGCAGGATGAAGATCTCACACACCTTCATAATCACAGTTGGTTACAGGAAACAATTTCTCTGCAGCTTGTTTCAAAACTGCCCCCCCCCAACCAGTTGCTTATGAAATCTCTTTCAATAGCTTGTGAATTAAAAGCTAAAAAGTTTGAGCGAGTGGTGTTTGTAGCTATTGTGATGTTCTGTAGTTTCTCTTGAAGGAAGCCATTTTGAACCAGAGAAGAGGGGAAAGAACACTGTGAAACTATGAAAGGCTTGTCAGGGCAGAACTAAACAATGCAGTACATCAGCCTTCTCCAACCTGATGCCCTCCAGCTGTTTTAGACTACATCTCCCATCACAGTTGGGACAGATGAGAGTTGTAGGCCAAAGTAGCTGGAGAGTACCTGCTTGACAAAGGCTACAGAGAATGAATGGCTTCTGCTGAAAGCAGTAGTTCCACATCTTCCCTCTCCTGTCCCCTGGAACATATACCAAAACAAAATGCATTATGTGATACCACCATGCTGAGATTATTCTCACACCTGCTCCACCTCACTGGCAAGCATTCAGTGTGATAATATCAGAGCTTGGAAAGCTTATCTTAAAAAGGAACTACTTATAGTTCAAGTGCAACACGCCCCAAAAGTTTGTGTTTTCACATTCTAGTTCATGTTTGTCCCTTTACAAAATGAACAGTTTGTGTTCAAATCACAGTTCAATTTAAGTTCCTCCAAATGTGCCTCAACTATTTTTTTCCAGCACCCAGAATGTTACAAGCAGCTGGTTGAAGGGTAAAATATATTTTAAAAGAGTAGAATGTGAATTGATTTTTTCAACAATTACAGTATTTAAGCTTAAAGACCCAAAAAATCTTAAGAGTATGGAACTTAAAACCATATGAGGAAGTCAAGGAATATGTTAATGATTGGTTGCATTACTATCAGATTAATGAAATGTTTAAAAAAGAGTTAAAAGAGAGAGGCTTTTCGGAAAAAGAGTCAAAGTTTCAAAAAGAAATAGTGAGTAATGAAATTAAAATCCTGTCAAAAATGTATAAATTGTTGCTAGAATGGCATACTAAAGATGAAGAGGTAAAATCAGTAATGATTCAATGGGCCAGGGATTTTGGGTATAATATACAATTTGATGAGTGGAATAAATTATGGAATGAAAGGATAAAATTTACAGCCTGTACTGCACTGAAATAAAATGTGATGAAGATGGTTTATAGATGGTATATCACGCCAGTAAAACTAGCAAAAATGTATAAAGTAAGTAATAAATGCTGGAAATGTAAAGAAAAAGAAGGAATATTTTACCATATGTGGTGGGAGTGTAATAAGGTTAAAGTATTCTGGGAACAGATATATAATGAGTTGAAAAAGATGTTGAAATATACATTTGTTAAAAAACCAGAAGCTTTTTTGTTAGGAATGGTTGGAGATGAAATAAATAGAAAAGATCAGAAATTATTTCTCTATGCAGTGACGGCAGCAAGGATACTACTGGCCCAAAAATGGAAACAGGAGGAACTATCATCTATTGAAGAGTGGAGAATGAAATTAACAGACTACGCAGAACTAGATAAATTAACAGGGAAAGTCCGAAACCAACAAGATCACAAGTTCACTGAGGACTGGAGTAAATTTGTGGATTATATGAAAAGCATATGTGATGAACAAATAACGTTTGTGGGTTTACAGGAAGCTTTGTGAAGAAATATGTATAGAAACATTGTAAAAAAGGGAAGAGGGGGAGTAGGTGGATATTAAGATAAAAGACAATGACAAATTTTGAACTTGCAGTATAAAGACGAGAACACGGAAGATTCACGGATGAACTGATGGAAGTCAAAAATATGTATTTGTGATTGTATTGAAAATGTATGACTAAAAATTCTTTTTTATTGGAAATTAATAAAAAATAATTCAAAAATAAATAAATATTAAGAGTAGAAAACGCATGTAAGAGAATGTACAGTTGGGCAGAAGTTCTGCTAGTGGGATGCCTACTGATAGCCAACTTTGTAAAGCCTTAAAATTGGGTATTTTGAGGGCGGTGGGCAGGTAAAGGAGCAGAGCTTACCTCATGCTCTCACTTGATGGATCTAGGCCCAATGAATTATGCCCCATTTCCCAAGTGGCATGAGCACCAAGGCTGCAAATGTGATGGTAGCTCCACCACTCCATTAAGCCCTGCTGCTGCTCGGCCAGGATTTAGATTGCAGCGTAAGCCTATAATTTCAGCATGCAGGAGCATGTGAGTCTGAGGAACATGTGATTATTGCAGCCTACTAAGAAAAATGATACTAAATCAAATGTGACAAGTGCGTTTGTAGACTGAAGACACAGCTTCTGCTAATGTTTGCCCTGTTGAAATTAATGCTGTGTGCACTGACTAAGTGCTTGAGAATCAAAACTGATACCTTAGGCTAACTGTTCATATCATGGCTTTTAGAATAGATCTCACATGAAAAATACTACTCACCAATAACATTATTTAAAAATAACCATTTGAAGCAGATGTAGAAAATTTGGAGACTCTGTCATGTCTAAAGATAATATTTTTGCAAAATATATTCCTATCTAGGCAATTTGTCAGTTGTTTCATAGAAGGTTCTCACTGCAGAGAAAATGTGTCAGGATTTCAGTGTTGTGATTTATGATTCTGTCATAATGGCAGATGTTCCCTCATGTATCTTTGATATTACAAAGCTGGAGCCATTGTGTTCTTCTCATATTGACTAATAAAAAGAAAGCCAAGATAACATCTCAGACATGTTTAGGTTGCTGATTTTCCCACTTTGATACCTTTTTGGTAAGAGCTTATAGAATTGAATTAGAACTGAATCTTGCAATGAGTGATTTTCATCCTCAAAATTCACATGAAATAAATCTGCTACAATTGATTGTCCATTTTCTTAAAAACAAAAACTTAATTTTGTGTATTGTCTTATACTGTATAGGTGTAGTGTCCTGCGTCTACACCTTTTCGCTTCCCTATTATTATTATTATTATTATTGTTGTTGTTGCTGCTGCTGCAGCAGCAGTTTCATAAAATTGACTTTTAAAATCTGCAAATGATTATTAATTTATTATTACAAATGCATTGCGCTGAATCCTGCTTAAATAATTTTTACTTGAATAAAACTCATATAATTAATCTGTCTCTTCCCACATATCAAATAAACGTGCATATGGGTAAAATCCTGTATGCAGATGATACCAAAGTCTTCTCTTATTTCCATCAGGCACCGGTGAGGCAGTGTACATCCTGAATTGGAGAAAGGCTGAAAAAACAGACTCAAAACACAAATATAGAGTGTTGTTGAGTGTTTCCTCACCCAGGTAAATGGTATTCAACTTGTTCTAGAAATGATTGTGCTCCATCTAAAGCAGGAATGGGCAACCTGTGCTGCTTCAGATGTTGCTGGACTATAACTCCCATTATCTCTGACTATTGGCCATGTTGGCTGTCACTGATGGGAGCCTAGAATCCAGCAACATCTGGAAGGCCACACATTGCCCAACATTATCATTAAAATCTTAAGTAGCTTCTGTGGCTCCAATTGCCTTTTATCAGCTGCAGCTGATACACCAGCTGTGATCATCTCTGAATGAAGATAGCTTAGCCACAGCTATCCATGCTGTGGTGACCTCACATCATGCATTGCAAGTAGGGCTCCCTTTTAAAACTGTCTTGATGAAACTGCAGGTCTATTAACTAGATCTGGGTGTTTTGATTATATTTTGCCAATACTTTGCCAGCTGTACTGGTTCCTGGTAGTTTCCCAATTTAAAGTGCTACTTTAAACCTATCAATCCCTAAACAGCTTGGGAACAAATCACCCGAAAGATTGCCTCCTTTCACAGATGCCTACCTGAACCATGAGATCTTTATCCTCTTCAGAGGCCCTGGGCTGTGTGCTCCTTCCAAGTCAGGTGGAGCAACTGGCTACTGAGGAGACAGCCTTTTAAGTGGTAGTACCTCCTTAGAGAAGCTTGCCTGGTACTTTATGGCAATTTCAGCTCCAGGTAGACACCTTTCACTGAAGCTGTTGTGGTTTAATGTTAGTTTCAATCTGAGCTATAAACTCTATACTTATCTCTACTATATGGAACAATTTTAATATTGTCTTGCTTTGTATGTCCCAAGAGTATTTTTTAGATGATCAGCGAACAAATGTCATAAATAAATGAAACAGTATTTCTCAAGCAAAAAAAAAAAAACACCATTCTTTTTAGATTGTGCACATGCATGAATATATTTAATTAAGTATACATATAATTTCTATGTAATACTTCCATGCTCATTCAGCAAATTCTTAGAAGTACAGATGCATCAATGTACATATTAGTTTGTTTTAGTATTCAAAATATTTATAAACTGCCTTTTAGAGCCAACTTGAGCAGCCTAACATAACAACAACACAACACAACACAACACAACACAACACAACACAACACAACACAACATAACATAACATAACAACATAACATAAAACTAATATAATATAATAAATAAAATATACAATATACCCGTTGTTGTTTTTTAAAGTTCTAGTACTAACCATGAAGTAGTTACAGTAACTGCCACACTTTTAACTTTGGGTGGGGGGAAGGTGCTGGTACTGCATACCTTTGAGAACCGCCAGGAAAAAGCACTGAATAAAATCAGAAAATACCACAATAGCAATAACGATAACATTAGAACACTCAGCATGGTATAACAAAAAAAGTTAAAAGTCAAATGGCATATGAAGTGTTCCTGCCAGCAAGGGTTGCCAAATTGTAGGATGCCCCACTCCTCCAGCAAATAGGAGCTCCCAAGCCTTCATTGCCAAAAGTAGTGCAGAGGCAGGAGAAATTTGGCAAGTGATTGAGTTTTCAAACCCATCAATATTTTCCTGCACTGCTCTTAGGACACTTTCACTAGTTTGCGGGTATGGGATTCAATTGCTTTCCAAACAAACAAAAGCCCCTTTTTGCAGTAAAAAGTAATAACGGAGAGTGCACTGGAAAGTGCAGAATAACTTCCCTGCTAACAAAATGAAATGGCTGTTAAATAAATAGCTTCCACTGTATAACTTCCTCGCAAACTGTGTAAACAATTCAGGATGGTTGCTCGGCCAACAGGTAGACTGGAAGCAACCTCACTGTCACTGAAGATGGTGGGGTGATTCTCTTCAGCCAACAGATCATCAAGTATAACATCACCTGGATAGAAAAGAAGTGATAGTTATACCAGCTTTCTTTGATTTCGGTGAAGATCACCGTAGATGTAAATTTTAAAAAGCATTCAGGGAACTTCAGTAATAGTTGCAAGGTAGATATAAGAAATTAGATTTATTAAAAATAAGTTTAATTATGATAAAAGTGTGTATTGGCAATGAGTAATATGAATTTGAAATATGGAATAGACGGGAGGTTGGGTCTTTAGTGTTAAGACCAATAGATGCTTTATTGTTTGCTAAGAAAAGTATGTGTCTATGGTTATTCTTGTGTGTAATTTGGTATTTGTGGTTTTTTTTTTGTTTTTTTCTTGTTGTATCAATAAAAAAACTTTATTTTTTAAAAAAATTTAAAAAGCTATGGTTGGAGTTGTGGTGTGCTTCAGTTATAAATAACCTTGTTACTGGAATCAATTAAAAGGCGAAGTAGACTGATCAGGAGCTAATTCCTACCCCTCCAGGTGGATTTTTTTTTGGGGGGGGCGTTTCACAAATTCGGGGGGGGGGTTAAGGCTGTGCTTTTTAAAACCTTATTGTGTAGCTTGGCAAAGAGCCAGCCAGAAAGAACACTACTTGCAGACTTGGTTATGCAAGTATGAACAATGTTTAACCATTCTGAAAGATCAGAAACTGAAATTATTCAATGAGATTGTGGTCATTCCCAATGGAGATGTGAAGATTCCTATCAACAGTTGAGATTACTGCCAAACATAGCTCTTTGTTCTGCCTTTGTACATGTATAACAAAACCAGGGTATCCAGAAATCTGGCAGAAATACCTTTCTTGAAAGAAGATTTTCAATGTTTCTGGCACCTGTCTCCTCGGAATGTATTGCTGCTGGAAGATCTCCCTATTCACTACTTTTGCCTAGAAAGGCAGAAACAAGGAAGCAATCGTGCTGCATAGTGATGATGACCTTTGAAAAGGGATTGGAACAAGCTCTCTCCCCAGCCCTCATTCTTGTAATGACACGTGTACAGCTTCTTAATAAAATGCTTTCATCTTCTAGGAATAGATAGAATGGTATCAATCCAGTTTGTATCTCTTGCACACGAGTAGACTGGTAAGCTCATCCCGTTGAATGTCTATAAGGAGGGGGTTGGTTCACTCCACAACTTGGAGTGAAACCTTCCCAGTCCACATTCAACAGATCATGCTCAGACCGGAACACAGGCATGTGTATTAGATCTCAAGTCTATGGACTCTTTCCAAGTACTGTTTGTCCCCATTTACTTTTTCTTTAATGAGATGGTCCAAGGGCTTTCTGGTTCGTTTAAAAAAACAAAAAAAATTCTAGCTTCTTGAAGCACCTAGAAAGTGTGGTGCTTTCTGCACGTATCAACAAGTTTTCATTAATCAGTTCCTGGAAGCAGTGGTATTTTATGAAGAACGATGCTCTGAAAGGTTCACAAGCGTCCAGTCTGATCTGCGTGGTTGTGTTCCAACCCTGGATGTGGGCAGAGGAGTGAATCAGAATTCTCTCTTCCTATTGTCTTCACCTCTCTTCCCATCCTTGGGTGGGCTTTGTATGAATTCTTACACCCCTGCTACACATCCCCTCAATAATCCTGGAAACTGGTAGGCCCCTCACAAAACTACAATTCCCAGCACCCTTAAAAATCTATGGTTCCCAGGATTCTTTGGGGAGTGCCTTTAAATATATGGTCTGTATGCTTTCTCAAAGCGCAGTAGTAGCCACTGTGAATCTGCCACCAAAAGGAAATCTGTTGCTGCTTGTAAACCACCCCACCCCCAAAAAACCTACATAAATCCCCCCTTAAGTAAGTCCCCATCATTCATCCCAGGCTGAAAAATTCCAGCTGAAAGTTCTCTTCAGATAACTTTTTGCTCAGCAGTAAATGGTGCAATCTTGCATGAGCGGCAGTTCCATATGCATGTCAGAGTGCACACAAGACTCTGGCTCCAGGCATTGTTATTTAAATAAGAAAATCCATTATATTCACCAGCAACAGCCAATTTACTTAAAATTATTCCTCCTTCTTGCCATCATTCACCCGCCTTGGCTATAAATTAACTGGTTTGTTTATAGATTAATGTTAAAAGAGTATAAATTGCTGTACCTTGAAGAAGATATTTTGAAGATACCCAGGTCTTTCTTGCTTAAGTAATGCACACAATTTATTCTTTGGAAAATTCATCTTAAGCACATTGCCTGCATTTTGCATTCAATGCCCATATTGCAATGCCATCAGCCACAACACTTTTTGCGGAGGATCAGCTCTGATTAACTGAAGTTCAATGGGCAATCCATATTTCTAATCTGTGATGAGTGCATTGACTCATTCATCATACTAATTAATTAATTCATGCTTTCAGACATAACTGAACAGGCAGTTTGCAGCTAGAGACTGACGGTACAGTGTTGCAAATAGTAGTTACCTGTGAAGTGGTTTGGATGTCTTCTGTTCTGCCCTAATTGCAAGCCACTGCTAATTTTGGCCCTGAGAAAGACTATCTTATAAGATGGACAAGATGGATCTCTCATTGTCCCCCATCCTGCCATCTAACTGACTTTTCCCAGTCCAGAATAAGTACCTAGGGTAGCACAACCATGTTGTTCAGGGAAAGGGGGTTGATCATGCCAATGACTGGGTTGAGGTGTCCACAACATGGAAGAAGAATGGGTTTAGATCGGGGTGGGGAACCTTAGGTCCAGGAGCCAAATGTGGCCATCTAGGAATCTGTCTCACACTTGGACCTCTCCCAAAGCTACACACCTCTTCTCCTGCCCAGACACTTCACTGGTCCTGCTGCACATCCAAGCACCTGACTGGATTGTATCCTTGAACTCTGATGATAACTCATTGCTCAAGATCAGGGTTTTCCAAACTTGGGTCTGCAGCTGATTTTGGACCACACTTCCCATCATCCCTAGAGAGCCAGTGTGGTGTAGTGGTTAAGAGCGATAGAC